TTTTTTTTCTGTAAGCCCGGAATCATAGTATCAGGTCCTCGTTATGAGAACCATTCACCGTTATAATATTATTTACCTTTGATTTTTGAAATTGTTACAAAAAACACAACCATAAATTAAGTGATACAGGCGCGTCCATATGTTCTGTTACTTACTTCATAAGGGATGCGGTAAGGGTAGGGTAAACAAGTTTTCTTAGTGTTTAAAAATACATACAGCCAAATATGTACAAAATATTGATGTTTTCTGAGAAAACAAGTGTCTTACATCGGATGGATGAGCTGGATGAGATGATAACCAGCACTGCGCTTTACCCGAGTAAACGAATCGACTAAAAACAAAAACCCCCGGGTCGTCTTCGTTAATAAATAATGTCCGTCGGTGCGGCAAGGGCTTTTGGTACGCTTTTGTGAGCTGTTCATTGTATCTGACCGTTTTTGAATTCATACTATAATGAGACCGTCGGATAAGCTGTTATAATAATAGTATACCTTTGGAAAAACAATAATATTTTATAATTGGAAGGACTTTTTTTTTAAAAAAAACTATTTTTACACAATATAATAAAACGTTTCGGTTTGCAGGTGTAAACCGACAGTGTCAGCTGTACGTATAGTGGAAACGCATGTCTTGCCCACCATGTGAAACCAAAAAGGAGCACGTTTTCCAGATCAAATTGTTTAGTTTTAGTTTTTTTCCACCCATTCGACCCGTAGCTGTTGTGCTGTTATACGACCGCCACCTGTCCTCGACGGTGGGCATTGTATATGAGCAGATAATTTCCCCGGACCGGAAACGTCACATCCGCCTTCGCCGCCCAAAAACTACCGCCGTTCACATGCAGAAACCGTTGAAAAACCAACGAATTTGTCAGGTGCGACAAAACGAGCGGGGAAGGATAAAAAGGCATTTTTATATTGTAAGGTACGTTTCCTTAGATAATGGAAAACGTGACACATACACAATGCAGGACCCTTCGCCTACCATGGTCCGTGGCTTGGGGGGGAGGGGGTCTCGGGTTTTATCGGTTTAAGTTAAGCTAAATGACTCCCCAACCAATAAAAACCTATTAGGTAAACGCGTTGCCTAACTGTTTTTGAAATTATACATTATTACACTTTTTGCTGTATCCGGTTAAAAAAACCGATGTCAATGGGCAGTTTAATGATAACAGTGTAAAAAAAAAAACCATTAAAAAATCGAGAGAGCCTTCATCCGCAACAGCCAGAGTCTTGAAAAACGCACTCTAATCCGACGAACTGAGGGAAGCAGTAAAATAACTCTTTGATTATTATTTGTGAAAACCAACAGTAAACATAGTGATGAGTAAAAATATTTTTAAATTACTGAAATAGCGTTTGTTGCGTTGTAATCCGGTTTTTCGAATTTCCATCACTAATAGCAAGTAATGTACAACAACAAAAGACACACTGTTGAGCAACGAATAATCGGTTATTAAAAAAAAAAAAAAAATGTCACTTTCTCAATTTCGTTTGAATATCTTTTCAATTAACACCCAAACGCTCGGTGCTGATCATCGTAAGCGAGGCCCGGGGCAATTTAAAAGCACAACAAATGTCGTCGATAAAAGACCCTCAGGGGGCAGGCTAAAAACGATAAAATCAGCAACAAAACCATGCTATACAAGTGGGGATATAAAAAAAAAAATAAGTAAGCGCATGCTCTAATGGTGTGTTAAGTCGACTGATTTATAAAGCCATGTCCTTTAGCCTTCTGGGCTCGAATCAGCTGCTGCCTCAGTCCCATTGTGTTCAACCGGGCCTATATCATTATGTTCAGTGTTTATGTGCAGTATGTGCCACTACGCACAAAATATTAAACGCCAAATACGAATTGTTGGTATGAAAATAAAAAGTAAGTTGCGGCATACGTGATCGGTCGACGGTCGTATAACTCGCATAAGTAATAATTGTTACCTATTATTTGTTATTATACACACAACTGCACGACGGTCGGTTTCTCGTTTCGCCTTAAGATTACACACTACAGGTCTCCAGCGGTGGTTATGAACAAAACAAAATGGTACAACAAACAGATAAGTATGATTATAATTAATTCGGCGCTTGTATGAAAAAAAAACGCATGACTTTTCTAGATTTGTAATTTCGATAACAACGGTTGGCGGTATATTGCGTTTGTCTGGATCCTTCACTAGAGATTTGTAGGTATTTGTAATTAACCCAATACACGTGCCGAGTAGTTTGGACTAAAAAAAAAAAAAACTACTCTCAACCGCGCTTTGCCCATAACAATATAATAATATTGTATTGTACACGTACAACTGTGGACTACATAAAAGTGGAAATTATCAGTGTACTATTGTGATTATTACTATTATTATTATCAGTATTATTACTATCGCCACTTGGACTACACAATCGGCGTGGGACGGTAATAGTAGTGTAATATTATAATATTATATTGTTTCGAGATACCTCTGAGCTATTGAACAACAAAAACACCATGTCCAAGGCCGTCGACGATGACGACAACTTATTGCAGTTCGGCTAGGATACGCCAAAGCAGAACTACACTCATACACACACACATCGGTTGGTCGAAACGAGAATACTGGAAATAAATAGTACTACTATACGAGCCAGCCCGAGGGTCTAATTACCATACATTATATTACTGTCGACCCGGCGGCCGAGCAACGACAATAATATAATAATATTAATATAAGATTTTTAAAGTTTGAGTGACATTCTTTCAAAAAAAAATAATAATCCTTATGTACAACCCAGTCGAATAACGTTAATTATTATTGTACAATATAAGCAAACCAAAACCCTCTTCGACTCGAGAGCAACCACTTACAGCGAACAAATGATTTGCCAATACATTATACAAATTATTTGTTAACATACACGGTGTCCCAAAAAGAACGGCGGGGTTTCAAACGGCTGTAGGTTGTCACATATTATAGTGGCAATCATTCGAAACTTGACATTTTCTTCTTTCACTGAAGCCCTACCAGAGCGCTGTAGGTCCAATATACTTCACAACCTACAGCCGTTTGAAACCCCAGCATTCTTTTTGAGACACCCTGTATTATTATTATAGTGGAATGTTTTGTACAACGATTTCATTTCTAGAACGTGGTCACACTGAATTGAGGACGGTGTTCAGTAAACGACTGAGTGCACAATCGGGTTTCATCTAAACCGTACGATTATCATTATTACTTTCAACACTAATTTCGGTTCCCGGATGACGTCATAAACTTGTTGGGCGGTTCGAGTTCCGCTCTTCTTCCTCATTGCGACCGACCCGAAAATGCCACAAGAAACCGCAGCAGAGACAACCAGCGAAGACGGCTAAAGGAAAAAAAAAATTACCCCAAAACCATCGGCTTTGTTCTCTCTGGTCGTTTGTGCGGTGTTGTCAACGGTTCGCCTTTATTATATTATGTATAATAATAGTGTCGTCATTGTGTACGGTATTGCCACGGTGATACACCTACGCTTGGTCGGAAACGACTTTGTTTACCGCAAAAACCGATTAACGACCTTGGTCGGCCGGTTAAATTGGTAGGTATAGGTATAAACGAAAAATCGGATTGAATATTATTCTTTCGAATATTCTTTTAATATTATACGATAAAATGTAGAGTCCCCTTCAAAACGGGTATGGACAAAAACGGTGGCAGTGCGTTATACCGCATGTGACCCAGTGCGATCATTCAATGATCGATACGTACACACAATATACATTTATATTAGAGTGGTTTTTTTTTTTTTTACGGTCACAGCCGCGGTAAAACGCAATCCTATCTAGGTATAACAGTAAACGACTTTTTAGGGTCACGACAGAACTTGCAATAACGACTTGGCTAGGTAGAGCGGAAAGTAATATACATCAGCTGGCATCGATTTCCGACCGGCTGCCACGATTATTATTAAAACCGAACCGTGTGTTTAATATCATTCGGATTAAAGAAGAAGATCCGTTGGGGGGTGGATAAACAGAGTAAAGGCAGGATGTTTTTTTTTTTTACTGAAACGTAGCAAAATATATTATTATAAAAAAGAAACGGTACACACAAATCCTTTCCGCCTTGAAGCATTTTTCGGTACTGCATTATCATCATCATCATCATCATCTGATACGGATGTACGTTATTACACTATGAACAGGGCGAACCGTTTGGATCATTACCCTTTGATAAACCCGAGAGTCTGGGAGAGGTTGTGTTGTAATTCAATGAGCGAGCACGTTTCAAGTACCTACGCCAGACAGTAGACACTGTACTCTAATTATTACTATCATATTATTATTATTATTTAGTTATCGCCGTAACAGAACGCGTGCCAGAGCGAAAGCACTCGAAAGGTGTGTGTGTGTGTATATTACAATAACGCGCATTGTTCATAACGCGTTCAGGTCTAATGAAATCAGCCACGTTGATTGAATGACAGTCAACGCATAATATTACCACCAGAAATATACGACGGATCCAGTATACCGTCGACCCACACCTAGTTATTTGTCTATGACTCGACAGGAGTAGTTACATCAGACGTTCAAAAACACAGACATATCATAATAACGTTCAAATTTACATAGCACAGCCAAAGTGAAGGACAAAATATTTGATTACAAATTGTATCAGTGTGTAACGCGCAGAGACCGAGTGAATGTGAATTCTTAAAAAAAGCTTATACTTGTATTTGAAATGTTGTCAAAGGATAACCCTATTACAAAACAATACAAACGGATTCACTCGAATTTGCAGATTGAGTTCAACTTTGTGGCATAATCATTGCCAATGAGACAATTGAGACCAGCTATAAGTTGGGTTTTAAAATAATTTGTGTTCACTTTTTGGGTGTATACGTAGGATTTTGGCGTAGATTCAAAGCGCACATAATTGTTAATGTATAGCTCTGGCCCGGAGCTAAAGCATAAGTCAAACTATAAGTTTTGCCCGTCCAAAAAAATAAAATAGGGAATAATATGATTTCGGTTGTACTCACTCTGCCCATAAAGTATCTGCGGTACGCTTTGGCCGTGTCGTCGGTTTCGATTTTGTTGTTCCAAGTGCTGGGACCTCCCGGAGCCGTGGCTTCGTAGTCGTTCTGGTCCTGGCCGTCGATCCAGAAACCTCCGCCGGTGGGCAACACGATGTTCGGGTAGGGCTTAGGTCCTTTCAACGTCTCCTCCAGGAGCTCGCGGGACCCGTTGCCGGCCGATTCCGGAGGCGGTGCCGTGCCCGTTGATCTGTCATCTCTGGACGTCTGCAAGAAAAAAAATCAATACCAGTCAGCACGTGAACGAAAATCCATATCATCCCATTCACAGACCACTCAAACGCACGTCTGCATAATGTGACAGCGTGACCGCTTAAAATGCAAATAAATACTTTTTTTATAATTGAGGCGCTCAGATGCCAAACCGGTTAACTCATGGTTGGATTGAAAAAAGTGTATAATTTTCAGTGGCCAAGATAAATAACTCCACAGTTGCATTTTTCACCGCTAGAGTGCGCTAAGAAAATTGCGGCAATTGTACTTACATACATTGTTTCAAATAACTCCAACAGCCTGTCGTGAAAAATGTCATTCTACGGAGTCAATCAGTTTGGCTTCTGAGCGCCTCAATTATTCGTTAAACGCTGCACAGTACAATCCTCATCAACTATACAGGTGAACAGATAAATTCAAATTGCATATGTTACAACTGACAAGTCATACTATAATTTGCATCAAGTGATTGCGCAGTAGTGGAACAATATGTACCAGAGAAATACAATTCCGTCCATCTGGTTACACTGCAAGCTCGTATTTTTGCTTACTTCATAATATATTTACACTTATTGCGACCAGTGTGATCAGTTCCGTTTTAACGTACGATTAGCCCTGGTGTTGTTGTGGAAGACTTGACGGTCACGTCTACGCTACTTCTTAACTTCTCTCAGTCGCGCCACTTATGCACCCAGGCGTTCTCACAAAACAGCTCCGCTCATTATCTGTTCTATTTCTCTGTCTACGCACTACATTAGGTACGAACGCAATAATTGGAAATTCTTTGACCGTTGCGAGTATAATATAATCCCGAAAAAAAAAAATTAATAACCTTGAAACGTGCGCTCGCCTCTGCACGTCTTGTAACCCAGTATTATTATTATTATGGTATGTTCGACTATGCTGGCTCGCAAAAAAAAAAATAAATAACAAGATATCATAATATATTGAATTAACTGTAAACACACGAATGATTCTCGTCTCGTACATATTAATGATCAGTCCCCACGGACTGGCAAACACCCACAAAGCCCACGGATCGCATTCATCGTCGCCGTACACCTCCTTTACACGCATTTCTTACCGCTGTTTAAGTAATATCATTAGCGCAGGTCAAACAAAAACTTCCATTTTCTATATTTTGCCGTCCGGTCATCATCCGCACAAAGTCACAAAACATAAATAGCTGTTACACTTAGATACATAAGCAAGTGCATTATTCATCAGGAGGTCGTTAAACCGTGTATATTATTTTCACGTGCGAGCTTACCCCGACGTTAAGCGCAATTTAAGAGATTTTTTTTTTTACTTACATTTTATTATATTTTTCATAATTACCCAATTGTACACACGGGTTAAAATATATTCTATGGGAACGCATACAGGGGCCAAACGAGTCAATGGCGACCAGCAGACCGTGAGCTCTATTTCCTGTGCGATTCACAGGAAACACAGAGCCACCTCGGTCAGATAAAAGACTTCACCCGAGCAAACCACCGGCGGCCATTACCTGGTTCGTTTTGTACAAAAGGGAATAACATAGATACGAATTAGAACAAAAAATAAAATTAGAAGCGACATTAGGCCGGTACGGATGTTCTATTACAATTCCCCCCCACCACCCAATAGTTTAAACATTAAACATTATTATGTAAATACTTATCACCGCATTCTTGTTGTTATATAGTTTTGTTTTGTTTTTTTACTATCAATATCATTTCAATTAGGCGTTTGCGTGTGTTTCATTCAGTCAACTACCGAAATACAAGTTTTCAATTAAACTATGCAAATGAAGCACAAACCCAGTGCCGTGTGACCGTTTTAGCTGTTTTAGACGAACGGGAACTTTGGGCCCAATTACAGTATTATTAACAGTCTACTGCGATAAGTTTTCTAATACTAAAAAATGTACATAAATATTTCCAAGGCAATACCGTACTGATTAATATTAATATTATGCGCCGACGGGTATAACCGGTATTGGGTGTTCTTTCCAAATGTTTTTTTTTCTTTTTAATAATAACAGTATTATACACGGGTCGTCCGGGAAACCGTCGGCCGAGTATTTTTTTTTTTTTGATTTTAATTACATTTTTCAAACCGACTAATTAGGCATAGGTATTTTATTGTTGACCGATGATTCGGTTTTTTTTTTCCACCCAATTCTCGAAATTAGCAATGGAAAATTACCGCGGTTTGACCGTAAAACACATTCGGCCCGTGGGAAAATGTAAGTAACTCCAAGTAAGTGTGGTAACATTGGAGACGGCGAGAATTAAAATAGTCAAACAAGCGTAACCAAATATTTTGTTTTCCACCGGATCCGGACGGAGAGACCACAATAGTGAGTGGTTAATGGCGAATGCACTGTGTTTTCGAAGAGCATAAAAATACATCATTTACATCATTCCAACCCTTTTGGGGTTGTCGACGAAATGGCGTTCACTTATGGCACAACGAACGAGCTGTTGATCTATCTAGAGTCAATTGTATTTTTAGAACGGCTTGCTTTTGGTGCTCGCCTCCCTTGTGCAAAACTACTAACCGGAATTACAGTGTACCGTTTATTAACAACAACAAGACGGATCAACCGAGGAAATCTTTAGGGTGCCAATGTGTGTGTGTGTGTGTGTGCATTTATTGCTGTCCCTTTGTGCGCTTCTCTTTCACATTGTAGCCGCTTCTACTGCTTCTACTGCTGCTTTGCAAAACCTACCCGTCGTATACCTTTTGAAATTTAAATGTCCCGGCGCACAAAAGAAAAACCCTGTAATAAGACGTGGACGAGGGGGAACGGTGCAGATGTGGATTGTGCAGGAAAAAAAAATGCACACAAGCAGCTCATAACGAGTCTGAATTATTCATCGCCACGTTGGTACACACACACACACACCAGAGCGAATCGTTGTCGCCGTCGTCGTTAACAGTCAAAGCCAATGCAATATAGAAGAAGAAAAAAATATTACTATTAATCGAGACGATCGACCTCACACAAAAGACATATTATTATATCGTGTATACTTGATCGTCGGCCAAAATAAAAAAAAATTCATTAATTTTTAGCACTAGGCGCCCACACGACAAACGATGTTACCCAACACCTCATTATTATATTGTTGTTGCCGGCCGTCTCGCAATACCTGGTGTAAGCGTACACTGTGTTATTATTATTATTATTATTAATAAGACTGTTTGTTGGCGTTTTAATATAATCGTTTCAATTTACAAAACCCCACATTGCTGTCGCCGGATTATTATACTATTGCTGTCGCGCGAGGAGAAGTAAAATAATAACAACAATGTATCTCGCCTACAATGAACAATGAACGTCCAAATAGGAGAGGGTGACGATACAACTGCAGCAAGCAGAGAAGACATTTGGAAAGCGGCTACTACACCACATTAATATTATATATTGTTGTATGATTTATGAACGGTTTCTGGTATATCTCGGATAGAGGTTGGTAAAACGCGGTGAAAATATTTAAAAAAAAGTGTTATCATCCCTGTACCTCTCCTCTTAAGTGCGCCAAAGTGGGTATGAACAAGAAGAAAAAATAAAGTTTTATCCATTACCGCAACGCCTGCCTGCTGGATTTATTTGGGCACCACCTCTGGGCCATTGTACCGCAGCAGCAGACAACATTGGGACAAATGGAGCGTACGCACAAGGAGTTCAACGATCCTTGTAAGAAAAAATATAACGTTTTTTTTTTTTTTTGTTATCGGTTGCACGCTTTCGACCGACCGCTCGGCTTGGTTCTCTCTGGTTGTTATGGTTCGAGAAGTCTAATGTTTTCGTCGAAACAACACGTTCTTAAAAAAAAAACACACACACACTCAAGCTCATTTATTGTCGATGGCAAACTAACTGAACTCAATATCTGGAACGTGTATTGCCTGTATAGTAGGCTGCCATTTTGTGAACAGTTATCGGTTTTATCAAACACAATAACATGGCCACAGACTATAATATGAAAATAGTCATGGAAAAGTAACGTAGAATTGTTACTTTCCATGAAACTGGTACACAAAATGGCTGCCTTTCAGGTAGGGACATTTTCCAAGCTGAATAAGCTTTTCTTATGTTTGTATATTATTCAATTTTCTAATCTCTTACAAGGGGATTTGGTCTTCCCCCCCCATCCATTTCAAGGACGAGCCAAGGCATACACGGATGTATGCAGAATACAAATGGAACGGCCCATAAAACAAATTAGGTTGTTGATTTTCAATCCGGGTTTTACATCAGCTACTATAGCCGCTGTACCTCTGGACATAATTCATACTATCGTCCATACTAATATATATTGTGTAACGCCAATAGGGAGAGAGAGTGGGGTCGGATCAGCGCTTAAGCCTTTACTTAGATGTGTAGTATAAATCATGCGCGCAAGATCAGTTTATAAAACGCTCGGTGACCTTTTTACCTGCGCCTAACAACTTATTGTGTCGACCAAATCCTTTTCTAGCTCCAGCCGTTCTACGGGAATTACCCTGTAGTTTATTAAACCGTTTTCTATTATACGGGTACTTAATGGATGGGTTTGAATAGGATTTAGTGATCGGACGGTGACAAGATTCAGGGCCTTAGCTGCTTCTACTATTTCACGCCATCTCTCCCTATCTTCGCTCTCCTCTAGTCTTAATCCCGGTGCTCATTTTTCGAGGTCAACCTCCTCAAGTGTTTGTCAATCTTAGCGTCCGTCTTTATTTTGGGCTTTAGGTACATTTGATAGCATTCTCCACATTGGTTCTCATTTTGTATTCCTCATTTTCCACGATAGGCCTGTCTTGATCGCCCTTCGTAACCGACCACGTTTCTTCGCATCGAACTGGTCGTAGACAGCTCAAGTAACCTTTATTGGCTGCTGAATTTCTTAGCTTTATCTCGTTATGCATATTATTTGTATTAGTTGCTTAATATTTCGAGTCGGTTACAGCTTGTCGGGTGTGGATGCCGACAAATTAGGTCCTGTGCGTATCGTATAACC